ATGGTAAATTATTTTAATTATTAAATGCCATGAAATATAACATCAGACGTCTCATACAACGCTTCGACTGGTTTTTGTACGGGAATGTTTTGATTTTGTTTTCTTTTTGTCATTATGAAAACGGAGTTTATAAATAAAATTATAATGTCGTTTATCACATAACACATTTAGATTTATAGTGAAAAACATTTGAGAATATTAAAGTTGTGTTTGCCAACAAAAGACATACTTTTTAAAGCTGTGCCGGATGAAATATTATTAAGAGTAAAATATTCCAAGTTCATTATACACGGTGAATTCGGTCGAAAATTTGATCTTGTTATTTGTTAAATCGTCCTGACCTCATTCGAGTTTCCCTCTAATTTAGTAAAAATACATATATTCCATATAATATAAAAATATAAATTTGTAAATTTCATCAAAATTTTGCAAAATGACAATTATTCATTCACGTTTGAAAATACAAATTTTTGTCTCGACCAATCAAGAGCTTAGTAGTTCACACTGGCGCATGCGCAAAACGTAGGAGACCGTCCATGGCGTGAGGTCCATTGCATAATGGCGGACAACTTTGATTTCGCATTTGCATATCGTGGGTATAAATATCCGAGCGGAATTAGTACCCTCGCACGGTGCTCCGCACCGGCTCGGGGATAATTAAAAAAATACTTTAAAACAGGGATCTGAATTTTAACCCACATTAACATGTTTCCGTTTAAACTATTTTCAAATCTTTCAATTTTCGATAGCTATAGTTTCCGTGAAAGGGTAATTCTGATCAAAGCTAAGGAAAACTAAAGGTGCATAAGACTCAGTGCTTGGATGATATACACCGAATACTTTGATATTTTCGTCAATTCTTCACCGATTTTCTCAGCTACTCTCCAAACGTGTGAAAAACAATACAAATTTCATGAAATTTCATTATTAGCGTTTCCAAAAGGTAGTCACGTCTCAAATTGCATGTGGCATTTCATTCAACACCTATAGGCCTGAGCAAGATGGAACTCAAGCAATTATAGGAGCAAAAATTTGCAAGTTTTGCCAATCGTAAACTTGCCCGTTTTACGAAATTCTCAACTGAGGTTGGTTCATGGTTGATTCTGAGTTATTGTACCTTTGCACGTCAGCCTTTGAACATCTTAAAACGAAAAAAGAATATTATTAGGTATATTCCACAGGTTGTATGTTTATATGCGTTGATCGATTGCGCTATTTTCTGCGTGTCTATATCGTTAGCAATTACCCATTACCTTTTTTTATCTTTGTAAGCTCATGGCTGATTTTTGTAATACAATTGTCGATGCTATTAAGACCATCTTCAATCTGTTTGCGTTTTAATTCATTCAGATATTGCTTTCCAAGAATGTCCTGCTAAAAAGAAGGCACAAGAAAAACAATCTCTTTGAAGAGCCGATTGTGCATTTACGAAATTTAAAATGGCTCATGGTCTGCATGTTATACCGTATATTTTTACAATTATAACAAATTAAATCCCCACAAAACACATTTGATCTTTTAATTCTTACAATATCAATATTGTACATCTTATACTTACAGCATGAAGCGTTGTGATAAGACAGAACGCTGTAATTGCTGTCACAAATCTCATGGTTGAGTCAATCTTCGTCTGGTACTGTGTATAAAGCTTCCTTAATTGTCTTCTTCAGCCTGGCTCCAAATAACAAGACTTGCTTTTCACGTCAACTTTTAAAGGGTGGTGCAACAACATGTTTTTTATTTCATAAATTGCATTGACGTAATGTTTTTGCGTTGTTTCATAACAAACGTGACTTCTTCGAAAGCGCAGATATATGATTTCATTCTTTTACAAGGAGTTTTCTGCCAAAGGGCTGCTTTTTACTGTCGCGTTTTTTGTACGCATATGCGTACACGCACGTTTTACAAGTATCATTTAAATGATACTGATGAAATATATGATTGAAAAGATGCACATGGTTGCATTCTGTTGATGATTCTGGTGTTTTTTCCCTGGCATAAAATTACAGAAGTGCAGGCATGAAAAGTTTTCATGCATGAAGTTTTAATTTCAAACGCAGGCTAGCTGCTTTCCACTTAGGCGTTTTTTACGCACAGAAAATGCTTTCAACTTTTTCATGATTATTTAACACATTGGTCAACAAATGCATATTGAAATATATGCGGAAAACTAAGTTTTTCCTTTCGCTTTATTCACCTTGCTTTTCAAATATGACATTTATAAGGATTTCGACTTTTGCCCGTGCGTATGAAAAACGCGGTGCTGAGGTGTTAAGGTGTTAAGTGGCATGGTAAAATTCAATTTCATAATGGAATCTAAAATTCCAAGAACGTCACAAAGATCAAGGACGAAATATACATATATCATCGCTCCATTTAAATTTAACCTCCATACGTGATCTTTGTTTCTTAGGTTTTGCAAAAATTTTGGGCAAAATACAGAAATATTTAGTAGTGTGAGAAACTTTGCTTCGTTAACTGCTTTTGAACGCCATATATAATAAACCTTCACCGCTCGCGTGACGACTATTTTTATAGCGAAGCGCAAAAACATCTGGAGGACAACTTTTAATGATTATGACGTCAGTGCAATATGAGTCTGCTTTGGACTAATTTTCGATCGAAGTAACTAGAACAAAATAAATCATCACAGCTAGAAAGATCTTACTTAAATTAGTGCAATTGCAAAGTTTGGCTGCAAAATTTTGTAAAATACAGAAAATATAGCCATGCGAAGTTGACAAATTTAGTATACTTTTGTATTACGTGCGGAAATGTGTAACTAAATTAATGTCCTTTTTGTCGCCGAGGTAAGAAATGAGTCTAAAGTGCAAGTCGTCCATTAATTAAGGTTTTAATCCTGCATGCGATGATCAATTTTATCAAGGGGCGCAGTGAAAGCGTCTGAACTAATAACGATGTCTCCACACAGATTCGTACGTACATAATATATCTGCGATCCTTTAAATAGATGTACCATTTCATAATTTGTCATAATGTATTAGTTAATTTAAAGGAGCACCAAATGACGGCGCTGAGCTTGTTCAATGGTTCAGTCGTTCAACACAATACATTTGAGATGATTTTTAATTTAAGAGTAATGTATTTTTTTAACTTCCTGTTTTATCGACTTAATAATAGGGAACTTAAAATAGAGTCATGCAGAGGGTTCCTTGCATGAGTTTGCGCTACAACACCTGGGTTATGTCAATAGCAACACACCAAGCTTGTTTAGAAAAATGTATTTGGGTGTGTTACAAAACTTAGAATGAATTGATAGAAAACGGACCGGCGACATATATTAATTCTAAGCATACAGTATGCTTTATTAATGTATTCCTCTGAAATTGCGGTGAACTAGAGCCGGGTCCCGTATTTTCGCTGACTTATATACTACAGGGCCTCTAGAGGTATCCATAATTCGGTATAATCGATCTTATACCAAAGTCGAATATACTATAGTCAATATTTGTGATCTTGGTAATGTGCAAATATTTCACATTACCAAGGTCACAAATAGCGTATTCTGGTATAGTTGACCTTCACAACATTTTTTGCACGTCAGTATTTTTTATACCTTTCCACAGACCAATTAACCAAGGTCGAATATGCTAATGCCATACATCGGTATCTTTAACAAACAGTTTAGAATGAAAGCAAGTAATATTTATTGCCAATTTCGTATTCAATTTTTTGTGCCTGTGAATTTTTGACAGATGCATTCGCAGCAGTCTAGATCCGCCCCTGCTGTTAACTGTATTTGGATTTACGATCTCATGTAACCGACCGAAGAAATGTCCGAAGAAATTATAGCACTGTGCTCTGTGCATGAACGCGAAATCATTATTTTGCCTTTCAATGGCGATACATCATTCCGGATTTGTTTATATCAACGTTGCTTGAATTCTGAACGGAATCTCTTGCTTCGCGAAAGGTTTTTCATCACCGTATTATATATAGGTCCAGTCTAAAGCAAGAGATTATTTTTCAATTTCGCGTCTGGTACAGTGCATGATTATAACAGAAAGGTTTTGAAAAATTCTACAAAAGACTCAATGCATGATTTCATTATGGACCGCGCTCAACACATTTTCAAAAGCGTTCTAATAAAACTGAACGCTATGACTATACCCTCAGCGATATCATTTCAATCCCACCAAGTTGAATTGACGCTAAATTACGCGTGATTTGCTTTTCTTGAAAATTCATACAAAATTAAAAAATTCGTATAATAAATGCCTCTAATGTGTTTAATTAAAGCTGCCAGTTCTGTGATGCTCTAGATCTTTAAGTATAATACGATGTACATTTGACCTTTGAGGTATTTAGAATGAAAAATAAAGTCAGACAACGTGCATTCATGTGGGCGCAATATGACAATATCTGCGCCGATTCCCAACTTTAAGCATTAGGGTGTCAGTTTTTAATTTGGCCATCTGTTATGTGATATGTTTGCGATCCTACATGATGTATCCCTCATGCATATAGATATTCACAGATATAAAATATAGAGTCAATGAATATGAATCAATAGAGTAAATAAAAAATACAGTCAATGGATGCATGGGATTGATAATGATCCAACAGATTGATAATGACGATACAACTGTGTTCCATTAGTGATTGATTGCTGCCGCAGCGAGGGAGCCTGAAGCAAGCAAAGCAGCAGATCCTAAATTACAATTGGGGGTGCAACCGTGCAAATTAAAATTTGGGGACGGTTGAACATTTTTTTTGAGGGGGGCTGAATTTAGAAAAGTACATCGTTTTGTCTTTACTCATTCATATTAAGTAAATGGTTAAATTTCCTTTAACATTACTTAGAATGTGTTTTAAAATCGATTTTCACAACCGAATTAGGCAGAACAGTAGAGAACTTGGCTATGAAGCAAATACGACTTTTAGGATAATCAAGTGAGTTTTATGGTCATGAATAAAAATTACGATATAGTTATATTACTATTGTATAATTTCTTGCGTGAAACGTTCTTCATCAAGTTTTAACGAACCAAAATGTATCCCATTGCTTTGTCGTTCCTGTTTCCATTATCAGCAGCACACTGAGCCAGATTACCAGCAGCATTGAGAGAAACTGAGAACCTACACCACTTAAATGGATACATACCGCCATCACCACCCAAGCCCACAAAAGAATCTGTTGTGATGCAATCGTTTTCGTTGTTCGCAATGTAACCTAACCTAACTCTTACAAACGAACTTGCACCGACGTTAAATCCCTCTTTGTTGCAGTTACGCTGTAAAGATGATCCTTGAATGAGCTGTTTCCATTGAGAGCGGCCAACGTGAGTCTGACGATACCTGCCGTCAGCGATCAGGTCATACAAGGACGATGCTGGATGTGAGAAAGAGAAAGCTCTAAGTTGACCACCATATTTCATCGCGACGCAAATTTCTTTGAATGAAGTTTTCCAATATGTTGATCCTTTGAATTCTCGGTTGTCAAAACCTCCGATTCTAAGATCGTCATTGTCATTCAAAGTTTCCCTGTTCGACCAGTAACCGGAACTGTATCTGAAAGTACTCTATAAAAGAGCCAGATTGAAAGAGACTCGTACGGATGTAATCATTTGGAATACACGACAAACAGAGCAACTCTTACCTTGCTTCCATCAATTTTCATCACCATCGTCCACCCACCACCAGAACAACCTGAGACTGACGACATCTGACAGTAGACGCTTTCCACTTGGTTTGAACCAACACTGATTTCGTAAACACCACTTGCGGTATTATTCCTTTAATACAAAAGAATCTGTTCAACTATTATTATGCGAAACCTACGTTTATATACATAGAATGAAGTGGAAAATATACGAATTTGCTTATTTAGCAATGGAGTAATTTTTCAAAATGATAAGCGAAGGGTAGCTCCATGTTTCCACTTTTCGTAGACGCTTTCCGAATTTCCAATTATCATAACACATACCTTTGACTCTCCAGTATTTCTTTACATGAATGAAATTCTGCAACACATTTAGAAATGGAAACAACAAGTGGAATCGACTTAATTCGTCTCGAAAAACATTCAGACTTTTGTTTATATATAGTGTAAATGATCATGTAGCATGTAACGATACATTGGACAGACAATTGTTTTCTGTTTTCAGAAAATGAGTTAACTATGATTAAGGTAAAATAGGCTTGGTGTCAAAGCAAGGCTATAAACATACCTTTGACAACAATTCTTACATGACATTGGATGCTAAATGTTTGGTTTTTGCCGCTGTACGTGTAGTTGTAGGAACGCGTGTGATTACCGACAGAGAACCATCCACTAGTTGAGTTCGGATTAGATAAACTTGGTGTCGTTGGGCACTTACTGGGTTTGGGTTCTGACCAACTTACCAAGGTTTCTGTCGGACCCGGAAATACAATTTGTGAGTAAATTGTTTGCAGGCAGGGACACTGACAGCCTAAATAGGAAAGTCAAAACGATTGTGATTATACCATGGACAAAGGGCCCTTTTGGCCTTTTCTCTGCCCATACAATACTGCATGAATAAAAATGGGACACATTATTATTGAACATAGGACACATTATCGAAATGATAAAATCAGTGAGAATTCATGTTGTATACCAACATGCATAAAACATTTTTTTGATTAACGTGAGGTGGCTCAATCACTTACGGACGATATTCAAATTAACAAAACATTTGAATTCAACAATCGTGCCGTTGCGTTGGTACGAGTAAGGATAGGTAATCACGTGCTTGCCCAGCGAGAAATTCGCTGGAGAGCTGGCACCAGGTGGATCAACCTGTCCTTTTTTATAATCAGAGCACGTAACGTCTGGGACTGTCCAATAAACCAACCCTTCAAATCTATTTGGTTTGGCATATGTGGTAAATTCACTAGTTTGGCCATCTTTACATTCACATTTTCCTGAAGAAAGAGAAAAACTTAAAAGACTGATGAAGCAAAGTCAGTTTTGTGAATATTTTCTCTCAAAACAAACTAAGCGATATTTCAGAAATTATAAGAAATAAAATTGCCAAAACAAAGCCTTCTATTAACATTCTATATAACAATCTCCACCGCAGAGGATTTTGTGTTGAAGTACAGAGTATTAAAATGACTTCGGGAAGACGACGAGAGTCGGTCATCGAATCAATCGCGACTGCCTCAGAACGAACTTTACATAAACTTACCAGGCGACGCGCACAAAACATCAACTATTTTATTCACAACTTTGTCCAGCTCATCCAACTTTGATTTAAATATAAGCTCTGGTAATGACCAACGCTCAACATATCGTCTCATACTTTTGATTTCGTTTTCATTTCCAGTAATGAAGAAAACAATGGTGATGTTTTTATTTTTGAGTATTCTGATATATTCATCCATGAACTTTGTTTCATATTCTGACGCATTATACTTGTGTTCTCCATTGATTAACCACAAAATAACGTCGTCTACATCAGGACGGAAGTTTTTGGGACTAGTCTTGTTGATCACCTTTAAAAAAATTGATTTTTCCAATTGCATTATAAATTAATCTACAGTCTTAAGGACAAACAAACTTTCATCAATTATAACGTCGAACGATCGAGTCCCCCACCTGCATGTACTCTTTAAGAAATTCCTCGGAAAACCTGACTAATCTACAGGCCAAAAACGACCAGGTTTTGGCAATATTAATATGGACAGGATTGGACAAAGAAGTTGTGTTCATATTGTTTTAGCTGTCTAATCCCTGGTTGCATGTGCATCACAATTAATTCCTACACCACTTTTGTCAACTCAGTCAAAACGATCAACTTACGTTGTTTGCAAGATCAAGTGCTTTTTTGACGAAGGTCCCATCACCGTTCAGATCATTTTTATAGTCAAGACTATCCAGCCACTGTATCAACTCTGTTTTGTTCTTCATTTCCCCGACTTTCAATAATTCTCCAGCTCGGTTTGAAAGGGTGATAAAACCAAGATGAGTACCTTGTTCCTCCACGTTTAGCTTTTCATTTTTGATAAACTTCTTGAGAAATTCTTTAGCAGTGTGGTAGTGCTTGGAGCTAACGGAATTGGAGCTGTCCCGAGCAACAAGGATATCCTTTTTGCAATCTGAAACTACATGTATATACGAATAACAATCAGACAGGGACAGACTCGCTCATTTACCCGATCCAATTTTGAAACCAGAATAATTTTCGGAGGCCAGATTTATGTAGATCTCAATCGTCTCATAACGTTTCCATGACGGTAATTTCAGTCGAATAAGAGCTTGATTTTTAGTGTTCTACGTCTTTCTCCTCTACGGCTTTTAAAGGAATAAATTCGGATTTATTCTTTTAATAGCCTCTGCGGAAGAGAGAGGTTCTACGTTAAACCTTTCTTATTGATTAACAAAGGTCTTTCTCATTGAGTAATAACAAAATTTTAATGTCACACTCAAAGAGCGTGAGTGTGCTTTTTGAATACAGGCGTATATCTCTTGTTTCTTGAAAATGTCCGCGCGTATTATTACTCAAAAGGAGGATAAGTCCAAGTCTTGCAAAGAAATGCAAATTAGCACACAAGTGGTAACAATTCTATCCTCTATTGTAATAAAAGCATATTTATTTGCCTCGAAACGGATAAAAAGATATGCGGAATGACAAAGTATATATATATATATATATATATATATATATATATATATATATATATATATATATATATATATGAATGTGAGCATTGCCAAAAGGATGGTAAATGAGATACGAGACATGCAGAGCAATATAGACCTTCTGCATAATGACGTATTAAGCCGTGACGCCTGCAGGGAATTCTGGTCTTAGTAGTCACGGCGGGAAATTCAAACTTCAAAATTTCCCACTGTGACTACAAGGACCAGAATTCCCTGCAGGTGTCACTGCTTGTTACGTCATTATGTATAAGGTCTATTGTACACACTTTAAGAACATGTGAACAAATATTTATTGAAAAGTAATGATTATAGGTTCACCTCTGGTGTTAACAATATCCTTTACCCTCTTTTCTTGATCTGATTCTAAATATTCATTATATAGAACTTGTTCATCAGAGGCCTGTTGTGTAAAACTCTTTAACTACATTTTGCATAGTTGAATCTCAGTTAACTCAGAAATATACGACGTTGGTACGCAGTGCGAGGGTATAAATTCCACTGGGGGATTTATTACACCCGGGTATTTTGACAGAACATAGCGGAATCCAAAGTTGTCCACATTCTAGTTAATTTAAGGTCGACTGAAAATATTCGGTGCAATGATATTCGAAGAAATATTTGAAGTTTATTCCCTTAAGATTAATTGTTTTGATGTTTTGAAAATTGAATTTTTACCCCTTATTTAGGCGTTAAGTCTAAGAGTCCATAAATTGCATGCATTAAACTGAAGGACTTATAAATTTCCGGCTTAATGCAGTTGACTGAAAACGGTGTTGATGTTCACTTTTGTTTTATGACTATAATCCAAAAAATAGCATATCAGTTGTCGAGAGTCATGGCTCACGTCATAAATATATAAGCTTAGATTTGGCAAGCTTAGAGAATTGATTTGTTTGGTTGAAATGGGCGAGGAGTTACTGCATAAATACTTACCACTGTCATTACAGAAGCGAACATGGAGCATAAAGATACATGTCACCTTCATTCTTCCATACAGGTTAAAGTTGTGCTTAATTTTGTTTAAACCAACAGGAAAACTGTGCGGTGACTTTACGTTTGGTTCAATTTCATAATAATTAATGTGGAACTTATGCGAGCAGTTAATTGTTGGTTTCGTCCAAGACACTGGCTCTGACATATTTCGGTACGCAATCCGGTCTATATTTTGCTCTTTAAAATGACAAATGCATTTGCCTTCAAATAAAAGAAAAAGAATAGACTTTTAACCGCAACTGCTAGCTAGGACATCGACTGTATACGTGCATATATATGACATTTTATACTGGGGCCGGTTGTATCAAGCCCTTTTAGCTGAAAGTGCTACTGCAACGAAATTTTCGACCTCATTTTTATTAGCCTAAACAAATATTCCGTCTTTTAGAAACAATTTGATGTATATATGACTTTTGTGTTTTAAGTAGAAGTTGACTAATTTTTCTCTCAAACCTCGGTATCAAGTGCGAACTTTTATAGCCGCCATGTTTGCTGATATGACGTCATAACGAGTACCGATGTTACGAAGCTTATGGTGATATATATAGCTTGTGTGTTGTCCACTTCGAATTTTCGAGCTTGACGCGGAGAACCAAATCATTTTATTTTGAAATGGAAGTTAATTCTGTTACCTAACATATATTCAAGGAATGCCTGGTAAAGGGTCTAAAAATATACGCCGATTTGTTAGAAAATTCAAATATTAGTCTTAACCCGTCTGACAGCGATATAATGTAGTAATATATGCCATATATACACATGTATAATATGTTGTGCCGCATAGTCCTTTGTGCCAAAAAGTCCTACGTAAGACGATCTTGAAAAAATTAAAAAAATTGCTTAGTCTTTCAGTAAAAGAAGACGAAGGCAATGATAGGATGTCCTTGTTACTGATAATATTGGTGTATCATGCACACTATGCGATGTATTCCTGCAAACCATAAACAGTAATATGATACTACACTATTGTAAATGCCACATTGCCACTGTTTATTTTGCAATAGCGCGTATATCGAAATATATCAAACACACACAAACACAGGTCCGTTTATCTACATAAATACTCAAGAAGCACCATCCTTGCCGATTTAAATTGAACTACAATGTCTTAAGAAACGACACTGGCCGTGCACATTAAGACACCAAGGCCAACATCACTATAATTCATCATGAATGCATGTGCGCGCGAAGTATCTTCGCATTGATGATAAAACCAGCCTTTGCCTATTAGCCTATAGCCCTATACATCTGTTAGCTTTCAACTTGTGCTACGATTATTCAGACATCAAATGTATGCACAGAATATTCTTTCAATACTCTTTTATTTAGGGGATCTTGCTAAACAAGAGTCATATACGAATCTTTGAAATCTTCTTAGCCGCGCAAAGAACCGCACCATGAAACAGAAAGTCGGAACAAAATTCAATATTTTCTTCGACTTTGGCGATCCATCTCTTTCGTTAGGATATGTATAGATATTTAATAATTTTGATGAATACTGGCTTAGTCGGGACTGTAAGAAACACAGCTACTTCGTCGACGAGGCTTTTCCACTAGTGATATTTTTCGCGCGAAGCGACTTTATTCCTTTGTATTTGAGCAATTTGTTCCAGATGGTTGCAGTTGAGAGCTCTGAAACAAAAGTAAAATGTCGATTCGCTCGAAAAATATCGCTAGTGGAAAACCGGCTTAACACTAGTATTTTTACGCCATGCTAAGAATCGGTATTCTTTTCTACGTCACAAACCACAATATAGCGGAGCAAAAGTTCGCACAGGAAGTGGCAAAAATCGCGACTTTGGAGAGAAATGAAATCAGGAAAGTAAGCGCTTTAAATTGAACCAATAAAAAAGGGGTCGAAAATTTCGTTGCAGTAGCACTTTAAACGGTGGTTAAGTTCAAAATAGAAAGCAAGTCTATTGTTTTATTCAACAAGCAAACAACCGGCCCCTGTACTATAATAAAAAATTAAACTCAAAAAGCGGGAGAACGGTTTGTAAAAGCCTCATTTTTAACCGCTTTTGCAAAGAAAATGAGCGGTTGAAAATCCAATATATATATATATATATATATATATATATATATATATATATATATATATATATATATATATATATATATATATATATATATATATATATAATATATACACCCATTTGCAGAAACGTTGGCCGCAGATAGATATATAGATAGATACTCGAAATCTAATTAGAATTGCATATGTTGTGTAATATTATAGAAATCAAATGTAATCATATGCAATTCTAATTAGACTTCGAGTATCTAACTATCTATCTATCTGCGGCGAACGTTTTTGCAAATGGGTGTATATATAATATATATATATAATATATATATATATAATATATATATAAATATATATAAATATATATATATATATATATATATATATATATATATATATATATATATATATATATATATTATACACTAGTGAAGCTTTCATCAACACTAACATAGATCCTAAACTGTAAATCCATCAATTATGAAATTCTGTTTGATACGAAGTTTCTTTATTTACAATATATATAGGCC